GTCCATTAGAGGTGATAACACAGGCCTGAGTTATTAATGCAGATGCAGTAGTGCTGTCCTGCACTCGAGAATAGATCCATGTTGGCCTGGCTGCAGCATCTCAGACAGTAAGACCCTCCAAGTGTGTCTATTCCAAGTATCCACTTACCTGGTTGCCTCTGTTTTCCTGAAGGGGAGAAGTAGCATCATCTGGTAAAGTGCTCACATTTCTTCTTTTAAGCATCTGGTCATCTTTTTTAGCTTTCCTCAGCTCCACATTGACTTCGATGCGCCGCCTTCTCATCTCCTGGAGGATACACACTCAGAATAAGTTCTGGGCTTTCAAAACTTAGATTTAAAGAGAAAATGGCTGGCTAAAGTACTAATTGCACCAGTGTACTCACTGTGCTGTCCTTTCCTTTGTTCTTGAATCTGTTTAATCGAGCTGAGGGTGTATTGGCATTCTCATTAGTAGACATCTTGCTTGTTAGATTTTTTGAGCAGGACAGATAAAAACAAGCCTGAAAACAGAGCAAAGGAAAATTTACTCCACAAAAGTTAAATTTTAAAAAATTGGATCCATACTCAAGAATGATAGGCACTTGTTAGCATTAATACTATAAAAACATCTGACTTGTTCAACAGCTGTCTCTTTAAACAGCCGTATGTTATAACGAACTCTAGCATCAACACAAAAGCAGAAGACACAGTCACACGATTTTGAGACACTTTAAACCAAATACTGCTAGTTATTATTTTCAGGAGCAGCATAGATTTTCATTTCTACAGACAACATACACACGCTGTTAAATACTATTTTCACTATCACGCACCTGTGCTGCACAGGAACCCACCTAGCCCCACCCCGACCTTTTTGGGAATGGGAAGAAGGCCGGGGGGCGTTTGCCGTGCGGGCGCAGCCGGCCGCACATAACAACGGCTACACGAGTAACGAAGAGAACCCTTACGGCTCAGCCACTGCCAGCATAAGAACCGTCTTGGCTTCCCTTCGGCCATAGCCCCACCGGAGAGACAACCCGCGCTGGGATACACCAGCCCTATCAGCCCCAGTGCAGACAGCGAGACGCGGGAGGCTCCGGAGAGAGGCCCCGGCAGAATTGTAGGCATAGCACGGCTCTTTCCAAAAGGGCAGCGCAGGGCCCGCATCCCCGCCGCCCCAGACCCGGTCCCCACACCTCGGCCGGAGACGCCGCCAGTCGCTCCGCTGCTGCCGCACGCTGCCACTGCCCACGGCCGCCCCACGCGGCATTTAAATTTCCCGCGGCCGCGCCCTGCCATTGGCCAGTTCGAGCCAAAGCAGCCTTCTGATTGGCCGGTTTGAAAGCAGCCCGGCTCGCCATGACGGGGAATGCCCTCCCGGAAGAGCCGGTCGGACGTGACGTCTTCACAAAGCCCGGTACTACAGCCCCCGGCGTGCCCCGCGCAGGCAGTGCCAGCAAGCCCCTGTGGGGCGGCGCGGGGCACGCCGGGAGCTGTAGTGCACGGGGCCGGGCTCGGTGATAGCCCGGGACGGGAGCGGGGATCGGAGCGAGGGGTTAATTGTGTCGTGCAGGGGCCGCGCTCTGAGCGGGTGGGGCAGAAATTCCCTCACGCAGAGCCTGAGTCTGCCTCAGAAACCAGCGCGGCAACGCGGGCTTCCCCGGGACAAGGGCGGGTAGTGACAGGACGAGGAGGTGGATGGTTTCAAACGCAACGAGAGTGGGTTTAGATGGGATATTGGGAAAAAATCCTTCCCTGTAAGGGTGGTGAGGCCCTTCTCAGGTTCCCAGAGAAGCTATGGCTGCCCCATCCCTGGAAGTGTCCAAGGCCAGGTTGAATGGGGCTCCAAGCAACTTGGGGTAATGGAGGGTGTCCCTTCCAACCCAAACCATTCCGTGATTCCATGGCTCCATGTGTCACTTATTGTCTCCAAGAAATGTGGTGCACAGAAATGCAAAGAAAAGGGGATATGAGATTGCAGCTGAAAGCAGTTCTACAGCCATCAGGGCAGATGGAAACCTAATCACACAGAATAACAAAAGCAAAGGATTCCTGCCCCTGTGGTATGGCCTGAAAAGGGATGAGATTGATTCCAATGGGTTTGGCCTGCTCATGAGGGATGGAACACAAAAGAACACTGATTTTCACAGGAGATCTTCAAACCAAAGAACTGTAGGGAAAACACAACTCTGACACTTTGAGACACCTGTAAGGTACAACACAGAGAAGTTTCAGGCATGTACATCGATATGCCTGTGTGCTAAGCCATCACATTAAACCACTTATATCAATCTCTAGGCACACATTAGGTATGGAGGATGTTTGCTGAGGAGGAATTACCAGTGACATGTCATATAGCTGGTTTTAGGCCTTATGGTGCTGAGCTTTGTAAAAAACACCTACAAAAACAAGAGCAGGGAAGCCAAGAGAGGGCACGTTGCTAACAAATGGAGATATTAAACAAAGAAAAAAGGCAGTTCAAAAGCAGAAATAGAGGTAAAACACCTGCTTTCGTGAAGGATTGGAAGGTTGGCGTGAAGAAATTCCATCGCTGGCAGTGTATGATCTGGAGCAGTTAAATCTGGGCACAGCGATCGGTGTTGAGGGCACGGAGAGGGCTGGCAGTGCCCGAGATGCCCGAGGGGGTGTGGGCTGCGAGGGGGCGACAGAGACGTCGGGGGGAGACTGCGCAACTGGGGCACAACAGCGGCCAAGCTGCGGGTGAGGTTGTGGGGCTGCAGAAGGTGTGTGCAAGGCGGGCAAAAGGGCCGTGAGGGGTCACAGAGCCCTGAGGGGGAGGTGTTCCCTGAGAAGGCCGAGTGTGGAGCCGCTGGGACTGGGTAGAGTTACCGGCAGCAGCACAGGAGCCAGGACCGGGCCCGCGAGGGGAAGCTGAAAGACACGGGCCCGCGGGCAGCGGTGGGCGGGGGTCCCGGGCCAGCGGGGCGGCCCCGGGCGGGTCCCCTCAGGCGGGGACGCGCTCGCGCCGAGGGCGGGAACCCGTTCTGAGGCGCGGGCGGGGCCGCGGGCACGCGCCGCGGGGCGGGGCCTGAGGGCGCCGCGACCAATGGCGTGCGGGGGGTGGGGCCGGCCCGCCGCGAGCGGGGAACACGTGACACCCGCAGGGGGCGGGGCCGGGGCCGGCCGGGCGGGGCTCTTACCGGGCGGCGCGCGCGGTGTGTGCTGGGTGACCCAGTGGCCTAATGGATAAGGCATCAGCCTCCGGAGCTGGGGATTGTGGGTTCGAGTCCCATCTGGGTCGTGCCGCGTTCGTTTTGTGCCGCTGCCGCGGGTCGCTCCGTGCGCCCACCCGCGCCCGGGACCCCCGACTCTTTTACCGCGGCTGCCCCGGGCCCGCTCTGCCGCGCTCCGCGACCCGCGGGGGCAGCTGCGCTTCCTGCGGGCATCCCTGGGTCCCGCTCCCTCCAGAGAGCAGCAGCCGCGGGGCACCGGGCAGGGATGTGGCTTTGGTCCCGGTTTTGCCCAGCGCTGCTGGGAAAGCTTTTCCATCTCCGCTGCTCGAGCACCCCGGGGCTGCTGGAATGCCGGGAGTGCTCCAAACACCACTGCTGTGCTCTTAATGGAGATCCTGTCCAAGTAAAGTGTGGGGAAAGAGTGCAGACACAGCCGTAATGAATGAGGGTTGAATTGCACCACCAGCTAATTCAACAGAAAAATCCTTGGAATACAGGTCTGTGGCATGCTCACGTGTGTGTATATCCATCCATCCATCCATCCATCCATCCATCCATCCATCCATCCATCCATCCATCCATCCTCCTCCCTCCCCAGTGCCAGCACTCACACTCCAGCTTCTGCTTGCTGCAGGTACCTGCTGCTCACCAAAGCAATGGAGGAGCCCTCCTCTCCTTCATCCTCAATTTACATTCCTATTCCCGTAATAGCTATCTTGGGATAGTTCTGGAATTAAAATGTTTCAAATAACAGAGGGAAACAGGGAGTAAGTGAGTGTTGCAGTAGAAACGTAACTCGTTGAGTAATAGATGTGGTGAAATGTCTTTTATTTTCCACACTATTCTGGTGAATTTTCTGTATCTTTGCCCATGGCTGCTGGAGACAAAGCCCTGAGCTTCTGGAAATCCTATTGAAATATTTAATTAAGGCAGGACAAAACAAACTGCTTGAACTAAGCAACACTGAATCCCATGCCACAGGCATGGCTGAGGGTTAGATTTTCTGTCAAGGGTGGGTTTCAGGAGCCTTTCAGTGCCTTTATGTAGTTTTAAATTGTTGGTTGTCCCTTAAAATCATGAACAGCTTCCACAGCACCCAGCAGCAGCCGGTGAGTTAAACTGTCACAATAGGAATCTTGTGTTGCAATAAGGTCACTTAGAAATAAGCCTTCTTAATTCAGTAATCCAAATCAGGGTTGGCTTGGTGTGTGAAAATTTGCAGAGTTCTTCATGATGGCAAAGAGAGATTTAAAAATAAAGCTGTGTGGGATCAGCAGAGCTTTCCCTTGGACTAGACAGTCACAACTGCATTTTTCAGCCTGAAAAGAATCACTGAAACTGGTTCCTGAAACTAAAAGAGGAGATTAGCAGTTGTATCACTGGAGGTGACCAGAAATCCCCAGATATGTTCCATTGTCATGCATATCCTTTACAGCCCCCGTGTCCCCGGGTCTGGTGTATTCCAGCAGCTCCCGGTTCCCCCCCAGAACACAGCTCTCCACAGGCAGCAAAACCAGCCTTGTTCCCGATGATTTTTCCCTACAGAATGCCACAGGAGGGCAAGACTCCCCAAAATAAAAATCTGCTGCCAGAACCACGTGTGGGTGTGTATTCCCAGGACTCAGGTGGTGCAGCCAGGGGCTTGTTCCCGATGGGAAGGAGCACATTCCTCCCAGGCAGGGCTGGTGGAGGCAGCAGCTTGGTCTTGCTCCAGTGGGTTGTCCAGCGAGTGATTCCCGTTTCCCCTCAGGCTGCCTCTCATTAGCATGGATCGGGGGAAGGGCATAAAAGACTCCAGCTCATTTTGAGTCTGGAAAAACTTTTCTTCAAAATGACAACCCAAGTGTTCTGGCTCCTCTGCTTTGTCATTAGATCATCTTCTGGTAAGTCTGTTACCTTCGGAGCGGGGCTGGGGCAGCTCTGCCTCGGGAAGCAGGGGAGGCTAAGGACTTTCCTACAAACCCTTGCTTGGGCAGCCCCCCAGCCTGCAGCCTTTTCAGCAGGTGAGGGCTCAAGAAAGAAACATTTCAACATGTTTGTGCAATGGGAATGTAGATTGCAATATTTAATTTGCCAGCATTGGGAAGAATTAAGAGCGCCTGGCAGAAGCAGGCAGGGAGCTGGTGCTCTGTCCTGCCAGCCACCAGTGGCAGGTGAAGTTGGATTTGCTTCTGCATCTGGGATTTTTATAATTTGTATGTGACCTTTCTCTTTTAGTCCCCACCACCTGTAACTCCAGATGTGTGACTGACTTTAACATGTTCAGTGTGCCCTGGGTCCCTGCAGCAAGCTGTCCTGGATGGATTTATTTGGGTTTTAGTGCTTCACTGACAGAACAGAAATAGCATTTACATCTGTTCCACTGAGATTTGGTTATGTTGCAGTCATATTTCTTAGGTTGCAACAACTAGACAGGAATATCTTGGTACGGGAGGAGGAACCTCAAGGTCCTGAGCAGATTGAGTAGAGAAAAATGAACTATTTCTTGATACAATCCGTGACTGAGAAGGCGTGATAAAGTGGTAGAAGAGTTTATTTGCACACCCAAGTCTGAGACACCTGTTCAGAGGGCACAGGTTCACACTGAACCATCTCCAAACCCCCCTTGCCTGCTGCTTTTGGCAGCTTGGACTTCTTCCACCCCTCTCTCCATGGACATTCTTTTGACTTTACGTGTGGCCAGCCCAAATATCAGGGAATCTTTCCCATGACAGCAGCTGGTGAGAGCACAGGGGGAGAAGTGGCAAGGTCAGCAGTTGAGTCAGTTATAGGAGATAAACCAGGACGTTGTTCATCTGTGTATGTCAAATCTCTCTTTTCACACGAGGAGCTGGGATCAGCCTCCTACACAGAATAACCACGGCCGTGAACACCAGACAGAGGCTGTGTGTGGGTGAGCTGTGTGAAAACTCTGCTGGCTCACTCCAAGCCTGCAGGGAAGGTCTAAAGGAAAAGGAAAATAGACTGCCAGGGGAAGTTCCTCTCCTGCTGGGCTAAACATTTTGGTAATTTTTCTTTGTGAGGTTCAAGAGATCAAGGTGAAGGTATAAATGAAAGTGTAGGTGGTTGCCCAGCTTCTGTGAACAGTGCCATTAAGTTATTTTTTTCCCTGGACTCCCAGGCACTTCCTCTCTTTCTCAAATATCCTCTCAAATTAAGCAAAGCCCTGAAATAATTATTACTCAGCAGCACTAGCCTAATTATTGCTACTACATGCTCAAGTCAGAGATCCAAAATTGTGGATAAAGACCTTTCCAGTAGCATCCAAAGCTACTGAAGTCTGGATGACATTGTCAACAGGCATCCCATGGATGGGAAAACCAAATAGTTCTGCTGTCATGGTCTCTTAAACAAGCATCCCAAATGACAACGTGAACCTTGTTTCCTCAGATGCTCCCTGGAGATTCAGGGGTTTGAGAAAAGGGTTTGTTTTTAATTTGAAACAATAATAAAGTAAAAATGCAAATCTCCTGTTTTGCTCACACAGCTGCATTCCCTGTACGGGACCATCAATATCTGAGTAGAGGAACGAGGAGCTCTAATGTGCTTCATCTATTGAGCTATTTATTAGTTTTACGTCTTCTTGTTGAAGGCCTCACTTATGGGTTAGAGCCTCAAATCTTCCCATTCTGAAACATTTGGAATAAAAGACTTAAAACACTGATTTTTCTCTCCTTTTTTTGCCTGTAGGATCCCTGCTCTATGCTGAGAAAGCCGGCCAGGCTCTCAGCAAAGATGTTTTTAGCTCAGCAGCTGCTGCTGACGTTCAGGTGAAAGCGGCGGGGCGGGGCACGGGCAGTGCCAGCGGGAATGCCAGGGAAACGGGAATGGCGCCGGGAATGCCCTCCCTGGCCGCCGACAGGAAGAAAGGCGCGGAGCCGTCCCTGGAGAACAGCACAGGGCCGAGGAAGCGCCTCGGGCTCCGGGGGCGGCGCCGGGCCGGGGCCAACAGCGTGGGCGGCCGAGCCCCCCGCCCGAAGGCGCCGTCCCGGCCGGGAGCGCGTCCTGCTCCGCGCCCTGCAACGGCGGAGCGCAGTGATGCTAACGCCCCGCTCCACCTCAACCGAGCGGGGAAGGCAGAGCCCGACAAAGAGCCCGAGCCCTCCAGGGGCGTCCCCGGCCCCTCGTGGGTCACCAACCGCTGGTCGCCCAGCTCGCTGCAGCTGGGCGGGCTGAGGAAAGGTAAGGGACGGGCTGCCCAGAGCTTCTCCGAGGCTGGGGCACAGTGGGGTGAGACATCCCCAGAGGGCCCCTGCTGTCCCTCAGGCTGTGCTCGTGTTGTAGGTGGTGACAAGGAGGAGGTGTGTCTGTCCGAGTGCAGGAAGGAGCGGGATGAAGTGGAGGCTTTCTGTGCCAGCGAGTTTGGTAGGTGGTGTCCCCCTCAACCCACAGGGACAGAGCACCTTCTGTCCCCTTGGCACTGATACTGCACTGCTACTTTTAAAATACTGCGATTAGGATACAGTATGTCCAATAATTACCAAGTATTCAAAAAGGACCCACCACAATTTTTCATAAACATACTTACATTACCTTTTCCCTACCTTGGGCTAGTACTGCCCTTTTTTCTGTTTCCTCTGGAGGAACAGTGTCCTTGAGACTGGTCAATGGAATTGAAAAGACTAATTGTTTTAGATACTCTCAGATTTAACATTGAAGCTGGGTTATTTATCTCTTACCATTTAGAGCAAGTTTGATTTTGGGAATGGAGGTTTGAAATGAAAATAAAATGGTGAACCAAACAGAAAGAAGACTGTGATTCTCTCTCTAGTGAGGATTCTTCTTGAAGTTCCTTAGGATTCAGTGTCTTTAATCCTTGTGTTCACACTGATGTAACTAAAGGTGGCAGGAAACAGCCTAATATTTTTGTACAGACTTTGTTTAAGGACAAGCATTTTCTGACTGAAACCCTGCCTTGTGCTTACAGAGTTGTGAAACAGATACCAACTTTTTCTCACAGTATTTTAAGAGATAAGGAAAATACAAACCCAGTGGTAACAGATGTTTCCATTTGTAGAACATAAACACGTTAGGAGACATCTGTTTTCTCTAAATGGAGAAGTCAGGAAGTGCTTTCTACAAATGCTGTCCTGCTTTGGTTTTTACCACTCTCACACATTCCTATCCAACATGGGCTTCACAGCAACCTGACCTCTGTGTGTTCAAGACCTTAAAAAACAGCTCTGCTCCTAAATTGAAAGGACAGGTTGGAAAAAGTCTGAACAACATATGAGCCAAGGTTCCAAGGCAGTGATCAGAGAGAGCTCTTCCTTGCTTTACATTTACAGTGCAGATAAAAGAATAAATGACTGAATCAGAGTTCTCCCCCTGAGGCAGGTGTAACACCAGGTGCAGTAGCCCCACTAACACAGAGCTGTTTTCCCACCCCTGCACTCAACTCTGCCAGAGCCAGAAACTGGGAGAACAGCATAAAGGGAATGTCTGAGCTCCCAACACAACCTACTTGTGCCCCTGTCTCTTGGTATGACAAGGGCCTTTTATTTCAAAAGCCAAAGTATTTCATTACCAGCTTGACTTTTTACTTCATTGGGAAGTTTTAAATTTGAAAATTTTACTTTGTTAGGTAAATATGCCCACTTTATATGTATCAGGGTAGAAAATGGTACTGAACCCATTGCTTTCTTCCCTAAGAAACATCTCAAACCTGTAAACAAGTTTTGCAAAGCAGCAAAACTTCAGGCAGTGACCTCACTAAATGTGATTATTTGAAGTAATTCCCACTGCCCACTCCTGAGCCAAAGGATTCCTGCTGACACTTCCTTTACAGCACTTCAAATGACAGCCTTCACACATACCCTGAAAATTGCCATGATATAAAATTTGATCTTATTTTCCCCTCTCCCTTAAAACAGCAGTGAATGGAATTGTTTATAACCTGGAAAGCCTGGGGAATGGAGTCCAGTGGATTACCCTCTTGGCAGACAGTGATGGATTGTACAAGATGAGTCGCCTGTATGTCACTCCTGACGCCGCCTTCTTCCGAGTTCACATCTTGGTTGTGGATACTTTAAACTGCAGTAAACCATGTCCAGACTTTAAACTTGGTAAATCATTCCAGCTAAATCCATTCTGCTATTCCTCTGCATGCACTGCAATCTCAGTCTGCCTTACTTTAATAGGCTTAGCCTGGGTTGCTGGGAAAATTTGGAAGAAAAGTATTTACTTAAAGTTGAGGCTTTTTTTCCCATCCAGGTTTCTCAAAACTTTCACAAGAGAACCAACTGCATGAGGAAGTCAGGTACCAGCATAGCCCTTTCTTAATTCTATCCCGTTCCAAAATGATGGCAAGTTTTCAGGATTCCTAAAACAATACAAGCAAGAGCTTAAGCTGGTGCCTTTGTAAGTCGTTCAGTTTTCCTTTTAAGCGCAAGTTTATCAAATACCAGCCTTCCCCCCGACAGTAAATGATGACTTCCACGCCAGCACCACCCCCAGGTCCCAGCAGAGCTCAGGGTGCAGTGGAAGCCCCGTGTTCAGGATGTTTCCACCGGCACAGCTCCACTCTGTTCCCAACAGAGTGCCCTCGGAGTGCCCCCCAACTCATTCCCCGAGGCTCAGCAGCCCTGTTGGTTTCCTTTGTGTCGTTGCAGGCAGCAGGTACATCGTGATGGGGCACATCTACCACAAGCGCCGGCAGGTGCCCGCCGAGCTGCTGCCGGCGCTGCGCGGGCGGCTGCGGCCGGGGGACGGCTGGGTGGGCAGCGGCGGCAGCTTCGTGAGGAGATTCCACAGGAAAAGCGATCTCAGGGTGAGGGCAGCGCGCTCCAAGTGTCCTTAGGAGGCCGGGGCTCCGTGCAGGACGCGGGAGCAGCGGGATGCCCCTCGGAGCACAGCCGGCCGTGGGCAGCGCTCCCGCAGCCCCACTCCGCTCCTGTGCTCGGCGAACGCCGGGGCCTCGAGAGGCCGCACGGAACTCACCCCACGGAACCCACCGGCCGTGAATTGGCTCCAGCTGCTTTCAGAGCACCAGGTTATTGGTGCTCCCCTGCTGCAGCGTGCCCCGAATGATCTGTAGGAACCGTAATGCAAAATTCTGGCAGTGTCGTCCTCAGTACACCACAAGTGCACTTTGAACCCCTCACCTTGAACACATTAAATGATACCACAGCTTTATCTACACAGGATGTTCACTGTGCTTTCACAGTTCTGCCTAATGCATTTGATTTCAGAGAAACCAACACCACTAAGTACCATTTGTATTATTTTTGTCTCCTCAACCATGTCTATGGTATTTTGGAAAATTACACCGTTCTTCCAGCAGAGCTGGGTGTTCACACAAAGCATACAGAAAAGAGTGTAATAATTTGAGTATATTAACATACTGACTGAAAGCAAGTCAAGAACTGCAAACCACAAATGCCCAGTTGCATTTACAAGTGATGGTGCAGGGAATGCAAAATGAGCACAGGCTGCACACACTGGGTGTGCCAGGGCACTTTGTTCTAGAGCAGTGCTGAATGCCATTCTTCAGGAGAAATATTGTGAAGCTTGTACTTGCACAAGTGTAAAGTTACTTTTTAAGTCAAAAAGACAATATTTTATTACCTTAGTGTGGTGAAATTGAGATGTTTGTTGTTCCCAGTCAGTATTTGCAAATAATAAGTCTGTAAAAGAAACTAATAAAATGCTCATGATGTTCTCCTTTCACTGTCTCCTGGGTTCTGGAAGACCCAAAAACCTTACATAATGATGTTGCAGAAAGGCACCTCTTTGTGTGACAAGTTGGCTAAGGATTTGATACATATTTATATTAAGAAATGTAAAAAATGCAGTACAGCTTTAAACCCCACATACTCAGTGATATGTGACCTGCCACAGGAAGCAGTGGCTTCTATGGAAGCATTTTCTGTTTTGAAACAAGGTGGTTCTGACACACTGTCCTTGTCACACATCTCTGCAGCTTCATTTAGTGTCACTGAAAAGCCACGGAGCAGGGGATGGGATGGGCTACGCTGCATCAAATATTTCCTGACGTGGAGCCAAATACAAAGAGCAAACATCCCCTACTTGGGACACAAAAGGCTCTTACTGGAGGATAGAAATTTACTCACAGCATGAGCCTACCTGAAAAATACCATGTCTCACTTTTGGTATGTGAAAGACTTTGCATGGAACACAGCATGGATTGATGGAATTTTCCTGAGAAAACCTGAGGGGGTTTTGATTTGGCAGAAGGACTGTTCTGGCAATGAATCAAAGCTCTCGAGTGACTGGGAGGGACAGAAGGAGGAAGGGTTACATGTGCATCTCGAGTTTCTTTGTTTCTATTTTCAGGGGAAGTCCAGGGATTAAGCAGCAACTCCTCCAGGCATCCCCTGCCCGGAGCAGCAGCCGAGCCCCATTCCCCTTATCCTGCTCCAGCCCAGGGAAGTGTGGGCACAAACCCAGCGTGTGCCTCCCTGGGCCTGTCCTTGGGAAGGGACAAGCACAGGACACCAGTGCTAAGGACATCCCAAGCCCCAGTTCAGTGCCCATACCTGACAAAAAACACTGGAATACAGATGTTGCTCTGGGAGCCTGAAAAGTGATTTATCCCATGTTCTCTTCCTGTGTTACCAAGTTCTCTTACCTTTCCCTTCTTGATTGGAAGGTCCCTCCTTAAAATGTTCCCACAGCAGCTGAGCAACAAATCCCTGTGTGTCACAGCCCTGCTGAGACAGGGCTGGAGCAGGAGCAGGACTGTTGTCACCAGGCTCATCACATACTAAACACACCTCCTGAACAACAACAATTCCCAGATCAAGAGGATTTCCAGTTTTGCACTTGCTATTCCGAAACTCTCCCAGCAATAACCACACTGGGAACTGGGTGGCACGCACGTTCAACAGCTGCCATGGTAATTTTGGTACCTCACAGTCAATAAATTCCTTTCCAACAGGATAAATATGGAAAATTCTGCCACCACCACACAGAAATCTGGGTGTAAAGGAATAACTGTTCTCACCTTGTCTGTCCAGGAGTTTACTCGAGGCTTTTGGGTAAGCCCAACTTCTTACTGTACTTTAAATCTCCAATTAACTCTTGCACAAACTAAATTGAGATTGAGAATAATTGCTTCAAATTTGAGGAGACAGAAAAGGAAAATCAAGCTGGCACAGCTCACATTATCCATATCTTACAATATATGACCATTTCAAAACAACTGTTGCAATAATTTATAAAATACAAAGAAGACGAGGACTGAGCAGAGATCACAAATCTTATGAACTTTATGCTTGATGGCAGGTGGGGATTAATTACAAGTGATTTATTTTCTGTAACACCATTTAACTATAAAACATCACCACTAGTAAATCCAGAGAAGTACCTTGACCTGCCCAATGGCAAGTGAACACACTGAAACAGGTTCTCATGGAATCACAGAATGGTTTGGGTTGGGTGATTAATCAGCAGCATTAAATTGCATGTATGTATTTCTTCCCTAAACAACCTGATTCACAGTTACATATGATCTGGCAAAGCCAAGACCTATATCCAATAACATTATCATTGTTTCATTAGAAACACCACCAAATCCATGTCAAACACATTACTTTATTTGTCTAGGATGATGTGTCCTATAAGGTACAAAAAAGTACTCTTCAGTTTGCCACAATTTGTTAAAAACAGTAATCTATTGCCTACAGGTAGGAAAGGTTTATATCATGTCAATATGAATTTAGGTATGAATAATAGTACAGAAATGCTGGGATGAGATGCAGGATATGTCCCAGTGCTGTTAAAGGTGAGATTTTTCCTTGTCCCATTAAAACACAATGCTTACAATATGCAGCATTTTTTAAAACGTCAAAGGACAACATAACCTAAATGCAACTACTCTTCTTTGATTTTCAGAAGCATAAATGGATTATTGTTTCCACACTGAACAATTAGTAATTTTCACAGATTGGTTAAATGACAACAATGTATGTACAAAAACACATGGGTTTTTAGTAGATAAAATTCCCCCAGAAGAACCTGAACACCTGAGCTGGAAGTGTAAGAAAGGGTGGTCAGTAGCAACATCTTTTTTAAAGAAAAATAACAGAGGAGGTTCTTGCATAGCAAGGTGTGAGGTTAAACCCAAAAGGAGCTTATCCATAAAACAGGTAAATCCCAGACCACTGGTAGAACAGAAGTTGACTGTGAGTTAGTGCAAAAGCTGGTCAGGTGGGTGAGGAGCTGCAGAGAAACCAGGGCTGGGACCTACAGACAGGTACCAGAGCAAGTCAGTCACACACAGGGAAATAAACCTCCTCATCTACAATTTGCATCTTCTTGGACTCTGGTTCATCCCTCCTGGCAGTGCTGCCCCCATAGGAAACACGGAGGCAGCCCAGGGACACAATTACAGAGTGTCCACATTCCCAGAGCACCTGGCAAAGATCACTGAGCTCCAGTGGGCAG